AAAATAAATGAACAGGAGATCTTGGCACGTGCTGAACATCTTTTTGATTGAAATAAATGTGCATCTTGATATTCTGTGTCTGTTCGCTTCCTTTTCACACACGGCTACAAAATAACCTTGTATATTTACGTAACATTATAATATGAGACAGAAGTGAGCAAAGTATAAGTGAATATGATAAAAAGATCTGCCAAGAATAAACATATTTTATGGGTTGCATTATCCTGCCATGTCCGCAACAAGAATAAACTGTTGGCAGCCCATAAAAGAAGCAGATAAAGATCTATCTGGGGTCTAGGACGTCAAGTCTTTGAATAGTGTGTCCCCCCACTGATGGTTGTGGTTCCTCCTGCCGACCCCTACATTATTATTATGACGTAAGGATCAGCAGAAGGAACCACAGCAGCCAGCGGATGACACATTATTCAAATGCTGGATAGAAGTGACGCACCGATATCTGCATCGCTGCCGATAATACGCTTTTGCACGAGTACTCATACTCATGAAAAACGCTCCAATACCAAAAACAGATACCGGTGCTTTAATTATGCAAATTGAAGTGGCTGCCGCGCTTGCTGGGAACCACCTGTTTACAGCGCTTGCGCTGGCCCGCACATCTCCCCCTCCTGAGACCCTCCGCAAGAGACATCAGGTGCCAGAGCAGAGTGGCAGCACAGAGTATGTGCAGGTATGGTGCAGCAAATATGCACCTGAACTCCACAGCTATTTTAGAAATATTGCCTGCTGTTTCTGTCCTGTGATTTATTCTGCATTGCTGTATAATGTATTGCTGGGATTTGCAGTCTTCTATAGCTGATATTATAAAAGGAGAACTATGAGGTGAGTGCTTTTCACTCACCTCATAGTTCTAGCCGACCTGTGACAATGAGACTGTCACAGGTCGGCTCAGTAGATCGGGAGGTGAGGGAACACATACCGGCGTTCGCTCACCTCTCGATCCTGTCACGGCTCTCTGCCGTGAAAGGGGAGGGGCTGGATTCCCCGCTTCGATCCGCCAGCGCTGACTGGCGGAACGGACGGGGGAGGGGGCGGGTACAGCTGGCTCTGCCTCTAGAAAGGCAGAGCCAGCTGTCAGTCACGCAGCTGGGCGGATCCCGGCATAATTGTCGGGATCTGCTTCAGCATCTCAGTATACCGCAAGTAGCAGCTCGCGGTTTACTGCGGCATCTCAGTATACCGCGAGCTACAGCTCGCGGTATACTGAGCCTAGGGTGATAGGAGGACGCTAGTTTGTGTCCTCCCGTTACCCTAAGGAGAACTATGGGGAAAAGCCCTAACCCCATAGTTCTCCTTTAATCTGCATTTGCTTTATAATATATTGCTGAGATTTGTAGTCCCTCTACAGATTGGAGTCAGTAGCAGAACTACCAAGGTGGCAGCAGTCGCAGATGCAACCGGGCCCTGGCTCTCCACCACTGTCCTATAATCATTACTCTGTATTGTTTTAGAAATACTGTCACATGACACTAAAAATAAAAGGTATTGGTAATTGGTATCGGCGAGTACTTGAGGAAAAGTATCAGTACTTGTACATGGTCTGGAAAAAATGGTATTGTTGCATTCTTACTGGATTTCAATGGTGTCCAGAAAAATAAAGGACAATGAAGGTTTGTCGTTTTCACCTTTGTAATGACGTTTGATTGAAGTTCTGTGTGGCAGTTCTGTGAGTCCAAGCTGGCGAGATAACTTTGCCCGGGGCATGGGGCCATGACAGCCTGCCTCACAGGAAGTAGGTTGAATGGTCCTGGTTGTCATTCAACCTGGAATACTGAGGACATCAAGTGGCAGAAAGGATTTTCATATTATATTTTAACATTTCCAGAGCACCTTACTTTTTATTGTTTAAAACAAAATGACACTTCCTAGCGGCCTCGTAGGGCTCCAATCTACGAGAGAGGCACAAGGCTGGTTTTATCCAGAAATGGACAGTAGAGGGTATTTTTATACCAACCTTCTCTGGGTGCTGTCAATACACAGTTTGCAGGAAGCTTTAATGGTACGCAGTATCAGTAGGGGAGGTGAAGCCAGTTTGATTTGATGAATTGCAACTGGAATGCAGTGTTTCACAGGCAATAGCCAGCAGTGGTATACAGTCAGTATGCAGGGTTCGGGTGCCCACTGCTCCCCTACCCAGGGTCCTAAAGCTTTCTTGGCACTCTACTTCGGTTTGGTGGTATTAAAGCTTTTTTTATTTAGTACAATGGACAGATTTTATTGAACAAATAAACTGTGTATACAACCTTTTACAAATTATATGTGTCAACTCTGTACAAGTACGCACAACCTAACTTCTGTTCTGTACCATTGTTCAAAGTTTAAGACCTGCCGAAATAAAGAATTTATAGGAAAAAAAAGACTTCCACTTAAAATGTTAATCTATGGTAGAACAAACAACAGATTCTATCTTCCCTAACTTCCTTCTCCTTATGTTTATTAAAAACAAATGGCAGGTAATCTTTCGTTATTGTATATTTTGTCCTAAAATGCACTTATATACCCTCAGGGAAAGATGTTTTTTTTTTTTTTTTAAAGGAATGTTAGCTAATATTGGGACGCTGATACCGGAACATATACTGTATCATGAGAATTCTGCCATAGCTCAATGGCCCCCAGATAAAATTTCCCAGTAGCTGTTCTCTCACCAGAGGCTGCAAGTACACTGAATACAGTAAAAGGATAAGATGAGACAATGATGGTATGGCAGTCTCTCAGTATATCTTATTACACAATAGCAGAAGTGCTGACAAAGCAAAGGAAAGGAGCTCAATACTCGTGTACTGGCTCCACTGGAGTAACCGGAACAAGAAGGGTCTTCAGGCAAGGATCTCTAGAAAATCTACACCAATAATTCCTTCCAAAAGTAGAAAGGAGTAAATGTAATTCCACATAGTTAAAGTATATACACGGCCTGGCCAAAAAAAAAGGCACACATTCTAATATTTCGTTGGAGCGCCTTTAGCTTTGATTACCGCACCCACTTGCCGTGACATGGTTTCGAAAAGCTTATACAAAGTCACAACATTTATTTCTATCCAGAGTTGCATTCATTTTTCCCCAAGATCTTGTAGTGATTATGGGATAGTCGGACCTCTGTGTAAAGTCTTCTCCAGAACATCCCAAAGATTCTCAATGGGGTTAAATGGTGGCCAATCCATGCGCGACAATGATGTGTCATGCTCCCTGAGCCTGATGAATCCTGGCATTGTCATCTTGGAATATGCCCAATGTGCCATCAGGGAAGAAAATAATCCATCGCTGAGCCTAGTAATTAACCAACGGAAGGCTCTGACCAGGTGGTGACATCTTTTTGCGAAGGCAGGCATGTAAAAGATATGCATACTGCTCCAGGTTCACCTCTGATACATTTCATTGTACGAGTGGGGAAGGGTCTTTGTCGGTGCTGGGAAGTTTTAAAGGAGAACTATGAGGTGAGTGCTTTTCACTCACCTCATAGTTCTAGCCGACCTGTGACAATGAGACTGTCACAGGTCGGCTCAGTAGATCGGGAGGTGAGCGAACACATACCGGCGTTCGCTCACCTCTCGATCCTGTCACGGCTCTCTGCCGTGACAGGGGAGGGGCTGGATTCCCCCCTCCCCGCTCCGATCCGCCAGCGCTGACTGGCGGAACGGACGGGAGGGTACAGCTGCCTCTGCCTCTAGATAGGCAGAACCAGCTGTCACTCACGCAGCTGGGCGGATCCAGACATAATTGTCGGGATCCGCTTCAGCTGCTGCGTCTTAGTATTCCGCGAGCTACAGCTTGCGGTATACTGAGCCTAGGGTGACGGGAGGACGCTAGTTTGTGTCCTCCCGTTATCCTAAGGAGAACTATGGGGGAAAGCCTTAACCCCATAGTTCTCCTTTAACCTCTCTATGTGCCCTGTTGACCATTGTCACCTGGATAAAAAGTGAGGGTAAATCCACAGTTGTCACAAGAAAAGCAGGTGAGGGGAAATCTTACAATAGAAACACCAGTTTGGGTGTCAACTAAGAGGAATTTCCCTTCATTTAGAGATTTGCTCTCACTTCCCATTATCTCTCCAGAACAGGAGATGAAAGCAAATCTAACCACGGGGACACTGACAACAAAATTAAAAACGACAAATGTTTTACCACATGTATACCTAATATGTTATGCAACCAGTGTTTAAGTACATAATTTTAAAGTTTCATCATAGGTGCATGTATTCCTGGGTATGTGCATGCTCAAGGGGAAAGGATTGGTTTTTACTTTTTTTTCCAACACTTTAACTTTTTTAGGTTTTACTTTATTACTGTCACCAGCGGGCTGCAAAGCCCCCGACGTGATAGTAATTTACTGATGACAGGTTCTCTTTATGGAAACATTAGTGGACTATTAGATCCCTAATGCCTCCCTTGCACTTAGGCAAATCAGATCAAGGACAGAGAGTCCCTGATTTGCTCCTTTCCCAACCCCAGGTGCCAAAATCTGACAGCTCTGAACCCGGAATTGCTTCTGGGTTCATGACTCACAGGGGAGATTAGGCAAGGGACATTTCTAACAGCTCTCTGTCCTGAATGTGGTTTTGGGTACCCCTGGATAACAGGGACCTCAGGTGAGCCCAAGAACCGCTGTAGGGGGCAGGCACTTTTGAGAGGCATAGAAATAAACAGGCAACGTTACAGCCTCCCAATCACTTCTACTACAAAGAGCAGCTGCTTTTCAGGTGCCTTGATGCACCTCCCCAATTTACAGCAGCAGACCCTTAAAAAAAAAAAAAACTACATTTCCGGATATGGAGTAAACATTCAAACTCCTCCCTTGCACCAAAAAAAGGTCCTCAGTGGGGCTCCGGTATGCTCAGAGCCCCAGTGCATAACGACCCGAGCTACAATTTAAAACCTTTTTCTTCATAGCGGCTACCGCACATGTAAAGCTGTTTTTGGAAGTCAATTTGGGTAACTGCAAGTTGCATTTACTGAAATCTTTCAATGATACAGTTTGAAAGTACTTACTGACACAATGACAGACGGGTAGGAAGGACACACTCCAGCAGTCTGAAGTAAGGCCGTTAGTTTCTGGGTTTCCTCGAAATCGGATTCTTTTACCTAAGAAACAAAGGCAAACATATTTTCTATTACTTAAAGGCATTTTCACTTTGCCCAATGAGGGCCAAGTGACAGCACCTACTGTTGGAATACTCCGCCGCCGTCCCCCCCTCCTTCTCAGGGCAAAGTCTACTAAACTGCCCTCACTCCCTCAATGTTTCCCTGCCCAATCTGAGCCCTTACTCAGTTGCTCAAAGGAAGTGTGTGTTCTTGGTATGGAGGACCATGTGACTAAACACGGGTGGGCTCTGTGGCAGTGCGTGGCAATGCCACTGTGTTATCTCCATTCCTGTGTCCAGATTCTGAGTGGTCCAGCGCATGCTGATGGCACAGGTGTGCACAGCCTTTAAATTAAAGTTGTTGGGAAGGGTTTAAGACTCCACCTGGGAGACAGGAAAGCTCCACCCAGGAGTCAGAGTGGAGTCCAGTGCAGCAGGGTGCTGTGGATGCGGAAGAACCCCCAGTGTGCAGGTTAGCACACGACTGAGGCTGTCTGGAGAAACAGACAGTGGGCTGAGGCCGGAGCAGCGGTGCTACAAATGCAAAGCCAGGAGGCTGGATGGGCAGGTGCTGCCATGAGATGCTAAAGAACCCCTGCAAGGGTAATTGTTCTGTTTTGTGAACTTTCATTTAATAAAAGTGGGCAAGGAAGTTCTTGAATGAAGATTACAGCGAGTGGATGCGTCCTTTATGCGCTACTATTTGGAGCTAATCCCCACAGCTCCTACAGCGAGGAAGCATGAATCAGTGAGCAGACCTTGCTCGGGTTGGGGGGGCTGTTAGAAGCCACTAAAATTGTAGAAATGTCACCAGCACACCAGTCCTGTTAGGATAGCAAAGGCTTCATTTATTGAAGTTTTTTTGTAGGGCTGGGGAAATTAACGATTAATTCCTCGATTAATCGTTAAACTTTTTGATCGATTAAAATTCTTTTGATCGAAAATGAAAAGACTCACCTCTCCGCCGGCTTCCGGGAGTCCCGTCGGAGATCCGGTGACTTCACGGATATTGACGTCACCGGACTCCTCCCCCCTTCTCCAAGTGGCTCCGTCGGCTAACAAAGGGAAGGGAGGAGGAGTCCGGTGACATCAATGTCCGTGACGTCAGGTGTGTGGGTGCCGCGAACGAGCACATATAGGCGATCGGCGGGCTATGGACCCGCTGATCGCCTATATGTGAAACACCCGGTACCGGGTGTTCGCATTGGACGGGTCTTTTCTGCCCGTGCGTGCCCGCCAGGGGGCGCGCGCGAGCAGAAAAAAATTGCCGTCTGGAGACGGCAACCCGCAGATGCTGCAGTGCCGCCCGTCCGTTTTTTTACTACGGGCGGACGGCCAGATTTTAAATCACCCTTAGGGCTTTGCTGTTTTACTATACTATGTAAATACATTTGTAATCCAGCACGTTATTATTCTGAGTTGCCCCACTCAAGTGGCGACCATATTGAGTGGGGCACGTGAGACTAATAACGTGCTGGATTAGTGTGATCCTAGTTCATTTTATTACTTCATTGGTGTGCTGTATGTGTATGTGTATAGGCCAATGTAGTTGGATCTGTATGTGCGTTATAATTAATCGAAATTAATCGATTAACATTTTTTTTGATTAATCGAACACGAAAATTTTAATCATTACCAGCCCTATTTTTTCGTCATATGACCAACTGTTAGAAGGCACTGTCACTTTGCCTGGAATGGGCAGGTGATAGTGTCTCTTTAAAGAAACTCTGTCATCAAAATAAAACTGCTGGTATGAAGTGCAGGTACGTGGCCATAGCTTCCCATACCTACAGCAGCCTCAACAACTCTATGGTGCCATTATGGTGAAAAAGTAGGCTTTTCTGACTGCTGCTGCTTGGAGGCTTTCTACCTCTTGCTCCCCACACATTCCTATTGGCCATCGCTGTGACGGGCTGCCTTACTAGTCAATAGGAATGTGCAGGAGGCAGTAATGGGCAGGCAAAACTTTGGAACTACCAGGAAGTGACTAGCGTTGGCTATGTGAACAGTCCAGGATCCAGCAGTGAAAGAGGGTATCGGAGGGTACTGCTACCACAAAAGCTTTCAGACAAAATATCTTTCTCAAAACGTTCCCTGATGTCTACAGTCACCTTTAGACTCAAAAAGTGAAGATTTGGCATGTTATAGGGAACATCTAGAAGAGTTAACTGTGGCTAAACAGTACCCTAAAACATGTACCTTCTGTTTTGAATCCTGCTGAAAAATAGCAGCACACTTTCTGTACCTTCCTGCACCTTGATGTTCATAGTTGTATATCTGCAGTGTAAGATCTAAGGCACTGCTGCCTCTCTGCTAGTCTCCCCGGATTTGAAGTGCGATTTGGTGATGTCATTACTGTGCTGCTCACTGTTCTCCTTGCTGGAGAGGAAGCTGTACATGAAGACCTGCAGTGCAAGAATCTCCCTGCTACTGCTTCTTTCATTCTGTGGACCTGTGCTTCCTCCACCTCTCTTGCAGCTTCTTAGTCATTACCCCACCAGTCATAAGGGGGGTAGTTCTCACATGGGGAAGCAAAACCCTGCTCCTACCAAGATGGCCGCTTCCACAGAAGAAGGCATGGTAAGTCAGTAATGAAAAAAAAGATCAGCTGCAAGAAGACCACAAGCAACACTGGTGAATTGTCCTTTACCCTGAGCTTCCAGAGTCCAGGTCCTCTTTAAAAACAAATAACAGGTTCTCTTGATAACCCACTTCTTTAGCTATTCTCACTTATCTTCCTCACAATGTAAAGTGGGAAAATAAACTTTCAAAATAGAGACTATCCACAGTACAGCAAAAGACACAAAACTACATGATAAATATGATAGATTTCAGTGCACCTGCTTAACATAAACATTGTACAAATCCTATGATAAAATAAAAGACATTATGATGCACGGACCGATATGGGTTGGACTTGATGGACTTATGTCTTTATTCAACCCCAAATACTATGTAACTATGACTAAACTGCAGCCAACAACTGAGAACCAGCCATATATATAAAAAATATATATTTTCAGTAACCATAGACGTTTCACCGCAGCTGACAAGTGGGATTTGACCCCAACACCTTCCTTGACTCTTCTCACTGACAGGGAAGGGTCAGACAGGTCAACAAAAGACAAGTTAGAAAATCACATACACTTCAATCTGTCAGAAACATTCATGATTGCCCTCTAAGGTAGACCACAATTCTCCAATCCTCGCCCAAGTGTCATATTGCAGGTCAGATCATGAAAGGAGCTGGACTGTTTATGGTCCCCTTTACAGTACCCTGTGCAGCCTAAGGCCCCGTTCACATTGAGCGATTTATCGCGTGGTAATTCCCGCGATATCGCGGCTATTTACCGCGCGATATCGCTCTTCAATGCATCTCAATGGGGCAAAGGGTCCTGCTGTCGCGGGTCGTGTGTCGCTACAGCAGGACCCTTTTTGGAGCGGATTTTGCCACGATTCCATTCTTTGCAATGCAAGCATTTGCGCGATATCGCGCAAAATGCAAATCGTGCGACAAACGTGAATGGGGCCTAAAGGGACAATTATTTTGCTATAAGAATGATTTAATGATATTCATAAAAGGTCAATAAATGGAGATTATGTAACAATGTAGATATTGCTACAATGATAAGTATGAAGGTTAATTTATTAACCTGTATTTGTGGGAGGGGATTATGGCTATTTAAACTCCTCCTCTTCCCATTCCTGCCTGACGTTGTAGGGGAAGCGTTTGTCCCCACCCACTCATCCCTTTATAACTTAAAATTCCATCACCTTTTTCATTTGATATGCCCCCTTTTATTAGCTTATTGGCACAACTGAGCCCACACTATATCTATTATACGGTATATACTGTATACCCGACCACAAATGATGATTATTTCAACTTACATTGATGCAAACAAAGTTGTAGCACTGTCCTTGCAAAATGCTCAGCAGGTCATGGCCGGTTTTGCACATTGATGATGAAATTGCTTTCACGTTCTACAACAAAGCAAAAAAAACAAAAACAAAAAGTTAGTGAAATCTACAAAGGAACTTTACAAAATACATTGAACAATTTATGACTTCCCCTTGGAGGAGCAAATAATGTTTCTATGCAGTGCAGACCAGACAAAATGAGTAAATGTAAGGGATGAATGGATACCGATACTGGTACCGGTACCGCTGCCGATGCTGAGTATTTGGAGCGAGTACGCGTACTCGCCCAAATGCTCCGATGCCTAGCCCGATACTTCCTGTATCAGGAAGCCGGGCAGCGCGTCATTACACGCTGCCCGGCTTCCTGACTGGCCGGGAAGCCGGCTCCATGCTCCCTCGTCACTTGTGTAACTCATCACCAGGTGATGCCGCCCAACTTCCTTAATGGGACTTTAGGTATCGGTATTTGGCATTGGTGAGTACCAAAAACGGTACTCGTATGCCATACCGTAAAACCGGTATCGGTGCAGCCTCACTATTAAGCCCTCCAAGCTCTTATCTTGGACTAGTCATATAGTCTCTTCCCTGTGGAGAAGAAGACAGTCGGACTATTTGAGTAGTTTAGCAAAAGACAATGAGCAGGGCTGAAACCACTCAGTCAACTAAAATCCGGTGTGTTTTCAAACCACAACAGGAAGTTAGGAGTCGACTCAACTTCTGCAGGTTGGCCACAGGCATCAGGTGCTGAAATGGAAATATGCTTTTCTCCCATTGTAGCTAAATGTATTAACAAGTTTTACTTGGTTACATTAACAGTTGTTCATATTTTTTTAAACAATGCTTTGCTTTTCCTCAAAAAGGATGTTTAAGGTTAAGGAACCACTAAAAGTCATTTGAGGACCCTAGCCATACAAATCAAGTCATTTATCAACCCTAGCACTGATAGGGTCCTGTACTTTAAAGCGTTCCTTTCATTGCATGGTCTTTGAAGGGGACCTTGGCCTCGTTCCCAGGCAGAGCTGGGAGCTCAAAATCCCACTAGAATGACCTCCAGCGTATTGCAAGCGTGCATGCAAGAAGTATCATAGGCCAGGTTGGGTTTTTTGGGTTTTTTTTAGGGGAAAAACCGGTTTAAAAATGGCATTATGCTGGGGAGGGGGGCAGCAGGGGCTGACAAAAAAGCGGACCTTCTATTTTTCCATTTGCCACTAAAGGTCCACTTCAAAGAGATACAGCAAGGCCAACATTGCATATATTGCAGAGACGTGCTAGAGTTTTTTCTTCCTTGGCATATGCTCCAATCATCAAGTTTTAAAGGACAGGTTGGACACAGGCGTCAGGTGCTGAAATTTAAATTGTGCTTTTCTCCCATTGTAGCTAAAAATATGAACCAGTTTTACTTTATTACATTAACAATTGCTCATATTTTTTAAACAATGCTTTTGCTTTTCCTCAAAAAGGATGTTCAAGGTTAAGAAAGCACCAAAAGTCATTCGAGGACCCCCAGCCATACAAATCAAGTCATTTATCAACCCTAGGCCTTGACAGGGTCTTCAGAAGCTCACATCCTGCTGGAGCCTTCACATTTAATATACAGCACATGATCAAAGAGGCTGTCAGGATGTCCAGCAAAAAGATTTACGGCACGGCAGCGCTGGTCCACTCTCTGCGCACGTATCCCGAGTCCACTGAGGATTGTCCACTCATCAGAATATTAACCAAAATCACATGGAAATGGGCAAAAACGTTTTCAACACATATGACAGCACTTCATTCATTAGGAGAGCCTTTCATTCAAGAGGAAAGTCATCAATAACCTCAAAAAAGATCAGATCCTGGCGGGTTCTGTCATTTAGCGTCTTTTTTGTTTTAGAAAAGGAAATCGACCACAAATGGTGTTATGAAGAATATGAACATTTACAGGGTTATTCACTAAAGGGTGAAGGGTTTGGAGAAGGCGGGAGAAGGGAACAATCTAGGACAACATTGCGGATTTGGAAAAATTCTCCAATTCAGCTCACTTTCCGGTTCAGCTATGTTGTTCTAGATCAGGGGTGCCCACAATTCTTTGCCTTGAGATCTACTTTTCAAATGATGAGCTCAATGAGATCTACCAACAAAAAAAAAAAACACCTTTATTTAAAAAACAAGCAGATTAAAATTGTTACTGGTACTACTGCATCTCTCTCTCTCCTGTCTCTTCTCGCTCTCTCTGCCCTGGCTGTCTCTCCTCTTTCGCTCTCCCTTGGCTGTCTCTCCACTCTCGCTCTCTCTCCACTGTCTCTCCTCTCTCTCTCTCCTGGCTGTCTCTCCTCACTCTCTCTCCTGACTGTCTCTCCCCTCTCCTGGCTGTCTCTTCTCTCTCTCCTGGCTCTGTCTTCCTCTCTCCTCTGACTGTCTATTCACTCTCTCTCTCTCTGCTGACTGTCTCTCCTCTCTCTCCTGGATGTGTCTTCCTGGCTATCTCTCTCCTGGCTGTCTCTCCTCTCTCTCTCCTGGCTGTCTCTCCTCTCTCTCTCCTGGCTGTCTCTCTCTCTCTCCTGGCTGTCTCTCCTCTCTCTCTCCCCTCTGTCTCTCCTGGCTGTCTCTCTTCTCTCTCCTGGCTGTCTCTCCTCTCTCTCCTGGCTGTCTCTCTCTCTCTCCTGGCTGTGTCTTCCTCTCTCCTCTGACTGTCTCTTCACTCTCTCTCTCTCTGCTGACTGTCTCTCCTCTCTCTCTCCTGGATGTGTCTTCCTGGCTATCTCTCTCCTGGCTGTCTCTCCTCTCTCTCTCCTGGCTGTCTCTCTCTCTCTCTCTCCTCGCTGTCTCTCCTCTCTCTCTCCCCTCTGTCTCTCCTGGCTGTCTCTCTTCTCTCTCCTGGCTGTCTCTCCTCTCTCTCCTGGCTGTCTCTCTCTCTCTCCTGGCTGTGTCTTCCTCTCTCTCTCCCCTCTGTCTCTCCTGGCTGTCTCTCCTCTCTCCTGGCTGTGTCTTCCTCTCTCTCTCCCCTCTGTCTCTCCTGGCTGTCTCATCTCTCTCCTGGCTGTCTCTTCCCGTCTCTCTCCTCTGACTATCTCTCCTCTCTCCTGGCTGTCTCTTCTCTCTTTATATCCTAGCTGTCTTTCCTTACCTGCACTGCAGAAGCTTCCCGGCTCTTCTCTCATGTGCGCTGACCTGTTCTCCTGCAGTGCTAGTGTGGTCTAATGTGTCCGATGCTGCAGACTGGGAGGGGTGTCCTGCCCATTCCCGTCTGCAGCGTCTGACACATTCAGCCACACTAGCACCACGGGAGGGAGCTCAGGACAGTGAGCCGATCGCGATCTACCAGTGTTTGCTTTGTAATCGATCTAATGGGCACACCTGTTCTAGATTGTTCACTACTCCGGCCTTCTCCAAACTCTTCACCCTTTTGTGAATAACCCTATAAGTCTTAAAGTATAGGCAAGCCCAATCACTAAAACTTCATATAAGCTTTAATATGTTATTACAATTCAAAATGTCAATCTTATTCAAACTGCAGCTTTCGTTAAAATAATCCCTGGTGATCCTGCCATGAAATACTTTGTTCAGGCACTTCCTGTTATAGGGTGACAATGCCCTGTATCTGCCTCACAATTGTCACCCTGTTACATGGGCTTCCGATGGAGACAACAAGTGTCCGTTCCAACACAAAATACTCAGGCATGGTCAACTGCTGTCTACTTCAGGAAACCAGGCCTGGGAAATGCTGTACAGCCTTCGCTGGGGTGTACATAGACAGGAAGAAGCTGCAGGAGATCAACAGCATTTAGATGAAGCAAAAGAATGCAAAAGCAGATAGAAAGGTCAAACAAGAGCACCAAATCAGGTGACAGGAGTCCAAAGTCTTTAAACATCTGATGACAACCAGAACACAAAACACAACCAATGCTTTTCAGGGGCCCAAAACATCCCCCTTCGTCAGGGTTTAATGAAGACAAGACTATGGAAATTAATTTCCATCTATTTTCATTTGATGAAGGGGGGGGGG